ACTTTCCGATCACTCAGCTGCGGCATTCATAGGGATAGCCACAGAACGCCTGCGCCAACAAAACGACTGTGAATGGCTTGCGCAGCACCACCTACAGCTCCATCTACACACCCCATATACATTGTAAATCCGAAAGAATAACGCCGGGAGGCATGTGGCTGGAGCCACGTTTCATCAACAGAACGGGCCCACACTCCTTCCGCATGCACAGCAGAAGCATTCCTGTCTAGTTTGGGAATCATGCGTACCAGATGTACACAAGGCGCTGGCTTGGCCTCAGCCCGTTCCACATTGGTTGCATGGAACGTAGCACTATTACGAAAACCGTGCACCCAGTCCCGCTAGTAACGATTAGCAGTCTCCTGGAGCCAGTATGGACGAGGTATTGTTTGCTAGACAGATTTTCACCTTATCAACATTCACAGCAAACGCAGCGACACCGGGGATGTCCATCAACAATCAATCCCTGAAATACTAGAAACTCAACATGCATGCACACGTACAAACCAACTCCAGCGATGGTGTAGCACACGTTCCGCACCAACCGCATTATTGGACTGGGTTAGTAAATTGAATTTTCAGTAACATACTCGCCGATCTCTGTGCTAATGATGATTACCTATTCAACTGACTCGTCGGTTTTTCGATGTTGGACTCGCGTGGCGACGTTAGTGGCTTTCTAAGCCGGATTGACTCAGGCGCTCGCGACTACAAGTGCTACACCACTGTGCGCTCGACGTCAATGGACTATCCTCCATCAGCGCCTGTCACTTCTGTACCCGGAGTTTCCTTCTCTCGCGCCACAGTGATTTCTCATCACCTTTTCAACCGCCCTCTCTATATGCTTATGCATATAGGCGGTTTTTTCTACTCCATTGTTCTACTGCCGATGTTCGTTGAACTTTGTTGGGAAGCCCAGCAGGCGATTCCCTCTAATTATAACGGAAAGTTTGCCAGGCCACGGCTTAAACGGCCGCTTAAGATGCTCTTCGCACAGGACTTTTATATATTCATCACGAGGAAATTGGGCTTCAGTGATTATATTTATGCCGTTGTGCACGGCATGTGGGACTCAGTTTGCTGCACCATCATTTGGCAGCGCATCAGTCTCTGCATATCCTGATCACATTGCAACCGGCTATGCCTTAGGTGCTGCATGGTACCGAGTTTGCGAACTGAAGTGATATGCTGGTCTCCGAGGATCCAGGAGACATTGAAAGCAAGAGTTGCGGGTAACTTCTATAAACTCTAGCAGGTGTTTTACATCAGCAGTCCCATTGACATTAATCTTACTAAGGGAATCTGTGACAGTACTAGTTGACCTGCTACCAAACTGCATTGTGATATGGCGACGCAGATTGAATCATTGTCATCTAACAAAATCTCTACCTAACTTTGGGGTCTTGTGTTCGTTCGCACTTTTTAACCGTTTCTCGTTGCTCGCTTGGATTCCTCTGTTGACAACAACGCAAACGTCTTCAGCTATGGAGTTGGTAAGATTAGAAACGTAGATGTAACATTCCTTGTATTCTCAACCCGATAAATGAAAACTCATGATTACATCGCACATTTTTTATTCGCGTTTTGCATAGACAGCACATATTTCTCATAGTAGGGTGCAGGATGAAGACCCAATGTACCCCTTGATGACCGCACTGGTACATTGTAGGGCGTTGAGAAGCTCGATGAAAACTGAGATCGTTTGCGTGCTAAGCGCGTCAGGTACCTGCTATCATTGGTTGCTATGTCACAGGTTGTCTCTCTCCAGCTTATCTGGTAAAAATAGTTCTACCATATGGGATAAAGGGTATATAGTAAGAAAAATCAGCAACGGAATTTTTTGACCTGGTGATACGTCTAGATGCTCATTCGAATAGAGAAGCTTTATTCAAAGATACCTCTATACTTTGACACAATGTCTGACATACACATGGATTCATCCTCCAAACCATTGATTGACGCAGTGATCTGAGCTACGAGGTAATGGGGCACAGGTCTGGCTCGGAAGTGTGAGTGTAACAGTAAAGTCCTATGGAGATCTGCCTGTGGTCCGTCAATTGGCGGCTTTAGAACATACATGTTTTTTGATCGCGTCAACTGTCTCATTTGTGACAACGATCGGATACAGTTGAGCTTTGGCTGCAGCTTGTTGGTCCAAAGTTACCTACTTGAGGTGAACAGTAGTAAACCAATAATCGGCAGCTCTCTTCTCGGAATTTTAGTCCATGGCTGTCATGTTCTTTGACATTCCCGTTATGTTTGTAATCCTTACACTGTTTTGTCTCATCACTGATTTTTTCACGGAGTACGCTGTCGACCTCTCTCCATCCTCTAACTAAGTTTGTCGAAGCACAGTTTATCTGATTCTTATCTGGTATGAGTTTGTAGGAAAAATTTGACAGATGCAACTCGACATATCGTTGTAATGTCTCTTCGTGAAGTGCGGGCCAAGGAAACTCCTTCCTATTTTGAATGTAACCGCGACTGCCGAGGCCGGGTAAGATTCTACGCGAATTTGTTCCATAAATTCCACATGACAGATAGAGTCCTCCAGCGTTATCCCTTATCTTCTCTTTCCTCAACTTCGTGACCAAAATCGCCATAAATGACCCATCCACTGCCTCCAAGTGACCAACGGATCTTGAGTATGCGGACGACACTGCTCTTCTAGGGTCGGACCTGGTGGTTATAACAACACTAGTGCATAGACGCACGTAGTTCTACAGGCTTCTGCATGTACTTTGCACGTTTAAAGTGCAAAGTATTGTTGCATGAATGCATTGATACGCCACCGGTACTTAGTTTCACCGAACAGGTACGGTTCATTTACTTCTGGTGCTCACATCACTAAGGAGGTTACCGCGTATCAACAATGCCCGTGAAGCTTTTCAGAGATCTAACGGTCCATGGAGACGACAGGACATCAGCCTATAGTGAGAGCTAGAATGTATCATGCTGTGATAAGACCGATGTTAATGTATGAATCACAGACCTTGCCAGTTTGCGACGATGACACTGAGCGCTTGGTCTTGTTTGGTGACTAACTTTTGCGGAGTATTACGTCTGATGGAAACACTGGCTGAGTAGTTCTGAGATTCGCCAGTTGGTTTTTGGCAAGAAGCCTTCTGGTGTCTCACTGGAGTGTTTGCTGAATCTTAATCGCTTGCATTGGCTAGCCCATGTCCTTTGTATGTCCGGTGACCAGCTTTCTCGGCTGCATTATACGCCGTGGTTGCATCTAGTTAGGCGAAACCGCGAGATGGCCAGGCCAATCTGTGATGTGGCATGAATACATGAAGAAAATAACCGAGAGGCTTTATTGGGCTAGTGCATATCGTCTTCGTGGATGGGAGTACTGGGTAGTCTGCTCCAGTGTTTGGAGACTGTCTCAGATATGGCACAGTCATGAAGTCAGTTTCTTGTATTTAGCTGTTAACATTGCATCCTGTTTAGTTTAACGCACCTTGATTCCATTTTTTAAACATTATACTCGCATTCAACTTCATTTTCTTGTCGTTGTTATTTTTGTTATTCTGGCAGCGTGAGTCGTGGCACTTGAATCCACGTTACTTCGGCGACCGGACCATAGTTGTGTAACTGGACTGAAGTGAACTACAAACTATTACACATAACCATGATTCGATCTTTATCCGCTGAGGTCATATCGGCAGCTAGAAGTTGTTTCACTGTGGCTCAGATACAAGGTCGTCGGGTTACTTTCATGCATCCTTCCACTTCCAACTTTATCTCTTCCAAATCATTATTTTTGTAGCCTTATTTACCCTCGCGTTGTCTTTTATTCCTTTTTCGATGTTTTTACTCTCACGAGACCATGAATCGCCACGAATCATACCTAGTCAACTGCTTTAAGATCAAGTTGAACCGAAATCTTGCATCATCGTCAAGATCATCATCAAAAGCAGCACATCAGTCATTAGAACTAATGCCTCGCTAACGTACAACCACAACGACCTACGGAATGAAGAATAAAAAGTGGAAGATGGATGTAGCGTAAAGTCTGAATACAAGTACACATTCACGGTCAAGACGCTTAAACCTTATCAACAACGTACCATCACAATCAGCTGGATATCGTGCAAGGTTAAGGCGGCATCGTCGAGACAGCTCCTTGCGGCTTTCACTGCTCGGTGTCATAATCAGCCATTACCTCGCAGATAACTCAGCACCAAATACACTTTAAACAGGCAGTCCGACTGGGAGACGTCAGCAGACGCATCATTGGTTTTGACTGCGAGCCATGCCCTGTAGCGTCTCGAGTCAAGTATATGGCAAGTTACGTGGACTCCAGCGTGGAAAGTGAGACGGTCCAACAACATCATTCCCATTGCTTAATCAACTTTTGCCCACCTCGGGCCAACGAGACCGCTATGGACAGTAGTTTATTCATCTAGTATTTATAAGTTAGTTAGCATTAGGATGGACAGCGTCGCATCCTAAACACTATCAATTCCTATGTGGCATACTTTTTCTTATCGTTCGCGTTATGCAGTTTACTGTGCCATTCATTGTTCCAGAGTTTCGCCCCGTTATTGGTCGATTAGTTTCAAAACTTGCCAACTCATTTTCCGAGGTGACAATATTTTGTCGTTTTCTGTGATCTTCATGCCACAGCCCCATTCTCCTACTGTTCAAGTAGACCTTAAAAAGTACTCCCATTTCCAGTGAATTTGAAGTTTTGTGCATATCACGTTGTCTTTTAAGAGCTATCTACAATTTCTAGACCTTAGTCTCCCTTAAATGTCCGCTCTTTTTACGTCTGATCTCTCAGTTTCCAGCTCTGACTTCTGGCTGGTGATGTCCATTTGCCAAGGCTTCCTCACCGTCGGGCCTATGTGGCTTGTTTCGGTTGTCTTCCAATCGCTTAACACCTGTGACGCCGTGACAATGATTAGCGCATATGCCGTTTACACGCAATCCTTATGTATACTCCGTCTCTCATTGTTACATCTATCAACACTTCTACGATTTACTTGTTGCAGGACAGCGTTACATGGGTTTGGGAAGGACCTTCAGTGTACGTTACTAAATGTTGCATATATTTGGAATTTTTTTTGTCAGCAAGGAATTGCGGATTGTTTTGTGTACCGCGCTCGTTTTCGCTTCGCTACTCATCGTTTTTCTCATTTGTAGATGGCGGCTGTTATGGATGACCTTCACACAGTTCAACACACGCTTCCAGGTGGAAGTAAGTGCTCAACAAATGAAGATTGAATTTTTTCTACCATACTGTTTCGGCCCATGCACTATCACTGTTGCTTAAACACTTGGTGTTCTCGACATTCACTTGCCAACAATTCAGCTATTCTGATGAATGTCTGATTTCCAGACAACCCTAAGCCTGCTGATTGGGAGTGGCGATGATGAAATAGCTGAATTCAGCTATTCGTTTGCGAATATCCATAGCTTAATTCGACCAAACCGGCGGCTTGGCTGCTGCCCTACTCTGGACGCACTTGTCTATTCAGAATATTCAGTTACATAATGCACCTGAGTTGACATCCACTCCCGTACCCCCTTTTGCTTTTTCGATCTGGGTGTTCACCTGTCCTCGTATTCACAAATCACAGTTGATGTTTTCTTAGCCGCTTGTGTCCATTACGAAGGGGGCAGCTGTACCTTATACCTACTTGCCCAACTTGGGCTGGACGACAGAGCCTACTGACCGGTCATACTCGTCAGTTACTCACCAAATATCCTTTTATCATTCTTCATTAAAGCGGCTCTTACCGAACATGCATCTGATTTGCTTACTCAGTTCTCACTTCAGTCGGTTAGGTGAGATCGGTGTACCGATGTGTGCTTTATCAGTTGCCTGTACTCCCGTTACTCGACGTAAGTATTAAAAGTAAAGCTAAAGTGGAACCAGTTCGATCCTGGAAAAGCAAACTAAAAGTTGTACTGGTCTGATGGCTTGGCTATGGGCTACAACTGTACGAGCGGGTGCAGTCGTATCGCTGTCTTTTTGGATACGCCATATCCCCAGCGGTACCCAGCCTTTGATGTGGCTGATACATAGGACCGCATTACGGAAAACGACAGACACCAATCCAATTCCGCCTTTTTGCAAGCTGCCTCATGATATTTTACCACGTCATCGCCTGGCCACCTCGGAGTTTCACTGCTAGATGCGGTATTGGTAAACAGTGCACTCAGAGGTCCTCGATCAACAGGCATGCAAAGGACGCTACCTAGCTAGCGCTGTCAGTTTAAGTTCTACAGGCACTCTAGCGCGACTGTAGATAAGCTGTCGCCGAATACTAACTGCCCTAGGGTTCACGATGTAGTGATTTCAAAATATATAGGTGTTTCTGTTATGCAGCACTCAAAGCCAGGCACAGCTACAAACAAACGGGGCCAATGGTATGGAACTTACTCCGCACGTCAGTGTGGCTGTCCCTATTGAATCGTGTACTTAGCATGATACTATTCAATGACCCGAATAGGCTTAAAGTATGATCAGTGGGCCCTTTACCGAAGAGTGGACAACTTGGCTACCACCGATGGATCCTTCAAAAAGGTCAGCTAGTCGCAGTTGCGAATACTGGCTAGCGAATACCAGTGCAAACGCACAATCACTTTGCGCAAACCGTTATCAAACAACACATTTTGACCAGTTACCATTGACCCAACGGTTTGTAGCGATGATAGATGTAAGTCGCTTGAGTCGAGGACCTTGTTTCGCTGTGTAGCACCTACTTATTTTTCCGTTGAAACTGGTGGATCAGCGAAACTGTCACTCGTGGACCCTTTGAGGTAGACCCTGGCTGTTGGCCTTACCATGCCGACGATATGCGGATAAACAACGATGCGATTATGCCTGAGTTTGCCTGTTACATAAACTCGATGCTACACTTTCCGGACATGGCTTATCGGCGGAGCCGTCGGTACTGTACAAGTTTGGTGGTAGGTACACATAATTATTTCAACAGAGGTTGCTAACGCATAAACCTACCGGAATTCAAGTGACGGTTTATGCCTATATTTATCAGACAAGATGGATTAAATAATTGCATCGCTTCGGTTAACCATAATGGCCAGTCATCTCGCTTAATCTTGAACCGCCATCATATCGATGCTCGATTCCATTCCTGTTCATCTAAACGGAAATGACCTTAAGTGAATACCGTTGGTATTATTATAAAGAATGCCGTTTATGTGGAGATCGTTCCTTCTCTCATGATCACCTTGCTTACATGTACTTGAGGCTGTGAAATTCGCTCACATTAGTCAAGGTTCTGTGGGAATTTTTGTTACCTATCATCCCTGTTGGACTCAAAGCAATAGAAGATGAACTCTTGATAGATTCGTAAATTATTCCCACTGAGTTGGAAATTAACAATTGCGCCAAGCATATTCTTTTTGATAAAAAACCTGGGACATGTACAATTATGAAGCAAAAGTAAGACGTAAATGCGTTCGCGAAAGCTTCGTCACGGTTAAACACATGAACAAAAGACATAACAATTGTATACAGCGGTATGAAATATCCATCAATGGCTTGTTCAATCGGACCAGGCCGCATGCGCAAACACACGTGACAAACACTAAGTATTTCATGTTGGAGCGAGTTCACTGCCAAGGCAAACTCAACGCTTGTAACAGAGCACGCTGTTTACACAGCTCTGGTTTCAACACCCTAACTGCGATGACCAATAGCTGTTTCTTAAGTTTTTGGGGTAGCGCCTAGGGATGGTATAGACGACTTTGCAAAGCTCTTTCATCCGAACTTCGTAGATTGCCCTTATTTGACTTGTGAACGCTGGAATTTTAACTGGTTTTTCGAAAGAGATTAAGCATAACGACATTGTCAGACAAACACTACTCATCCGGATAACCAGTGGATTGTCTTTCGGGAATCGCCAGCAGGGCGTATTCCATCTGTTCCTTGCGCGGAACAAGTACGCATTATGGGTCCGTTGTTAGGACCAGCGGGCCACGGATAATTCACTGCACCCGCAATGACTCAGTAACTGGCCGTAGTGTGAACCCTACACTCATTCTCCGCTGACATGCAGATTTCTAACTTGTAGTAGGCAGGGCTGACACCCGGACCATCATCGTCTGCTAGCACTGTAAGATAGCTTGGGCAACTGCTGACTTTTACTAGTACTATTAGGTGGGATTCGAATTGAATTTCAACGGATATTCGTCACAGCCACAGCGCAGTGCAGTGACTATCTAGCTAAGTGTGCTTGTGACGAATATCCATCGAAGAATGTTATTCGATAACGTTGTCTCGCCTATGCCTAGTAAATGTAGCTTCTGCTCCGGTCAAGGTGAACGTGTGCATGACGTCCGTCAGTGACCAGTTGGGATTCAGCGTTACTTGTCTTTCTCTCGCCCACACATTATCGTTGCGCGTCGGAGTGAGTTAGACCTTGCTTCAGTCTGCTCACTACAACTCAAGCTGCGACATCGTTAACCAGTTTGGCATTTTATTACACTAAAGACAACATGTAAGTGGAATGAATAGAAACCCGATTCATCTACTCCTGCACGCCAGCGAATCGACATTTGCCCACACCGCCATAGATTTGTCAAGTGTTTGCGGGAGATAAGGGTGCGTATGTTACGTATCTCCCAGAACACACATTGTCATGCTGTACGTCTCAGTCTGATGTATTCCATGAATTTCCATCTAGTAATAAAAGCAGTCGGCGATGTCTCTGAGATTCTACCTGCTTATATACAGATCAGACTATAGGAGTGCTGCTGTTGAGAATAGCTGATGATTTTTAAGCCACCGGGAGTTTCTTTGTTACGCCACTCTTTTCTGTGAAACTCAACTACACAGTACTCTTGCATTTGATAAGTGGTAACCAACTCGATCTACCCTGAATCATGGCGACGGAGTACTTACATTACATCAGCGTTTTTTGTATATGTGCCGACATGCGTAACCCGGCACCACTGAGTTCATAACCAGCAGTCCCAAGTCGATGTGATTGGCGATGGTAGCTTCGCTGGTGCTTTTCGTTTGGAAAGCAGCGAGCTCTCTCCTCTACCAAATGCTCCACCACGTTACTCCCCCTTCTACGCACACATGTTCGGGCCAGTGACTGAGTGGCTCAGGCCCCTAATTCCTCATTCAAAAGTCACCAGCTCCAATCTGCGTTGGCCCGGACGACTTCGTAGCATTTCTAGCCCGCTGACAACTAATTGTTGCCCGTGGCAGCGAAGCGTCCATGCGACGTGCCCGCATACTTCTGATGCATCTAACCTTCTGCTTACCGTGGTCTATCGAACATCTGATGGTTAGGCTAAATCGGTGTACGTCTACATCTCTACATCGCTATCACAAAAGTCTTGCTGTTAACCGTCTCGCTGGACGTATCCCAGTTGTCAGCATATACGTGAAGGGGAAAATAACGTTCATCCAACCACCCATCTACTTGCGTGCACCTTTGTTTGGATGAAGCGGCATCTTTCTTGTTCTCCGTTATGTTTGTGTTACCTTCTAATTATCAAATGTCTCCTCATCTGTTCATTACTTTCTCTACTCTCTTGTAGTACCTGTCTGTTTATAATCCCAACGAAGAGGAACGGTTAGACCCTGTCCTGTACGCCAACAATGTCCGTCGCGTGATGGCTGGGTGAGTGCTCGACATCATGGTAGTGAAAAACAGCCTTGCCTCCTGGCTATGAGGCATTGACAAAGCTCTTCCACATTTATCCGTCGGGCACACCTCGGCTCAGCTGTCATCATGTGTGGCCGTACTCAACTAAACACACTCATCCAGGGCATCCGGACTTACCAGGCACTAGCCCCAGAGCAACTTCTAACTCTTCCGTTAAGCAACCGATTAGCAGTACGGTGATTGCTTTCGTTTTTTAAATAAATCTTTTATTCTCGGCAGTGCGACACGCCTGCAAAGGTGTATGTTCATGATAATAGAAACACGTATGGTCGGCAATTATACAAAAATGTCGTAAGTTAACCAGTAACATACTGGATCTGTGTGTATGTATATATGTAGGCTGTTGTTACATTTATCATCCTTCTTCACCGCAGTTGGGCTAAATCAACTTAAACTAGGTCTTATTAGGTTGGATAAATTTCATTCCACTTTAATTGGTTTGTTCTGCCTACCTGAATAATCTTCTATTAACTTGCACACGTTGCTTACGCTAATTGCGCTTATCTTCGTTAACTTTATTGCGTTTGTAGCATTTTTCGAGTAACTTGTGGACATTTTGTACTTGTCGCCTGCTCGTTGATAACCAACTTACTTCATATGCTAATTTAGCGTAGAGTAATGTCTGCATAGCCGTATGCTTTAACAGATATACTTTATTTGATAATGTTATTTCAAGTGATTGGCTGTTGCTTGATATCCCCGGCGTGGATGCGCTTGATGTGTATGTTTACAAGATGCTTACCTATTACCCACTACTTCGTCCATACTGGCTCTAGGAGACAGTTGGTCCTTGCTGTAGATGACGTGGTGCACAGTCCTTGTGGCTGTGCTAGGCTCGAAGAGTGGTTCCATGCATTCAGTGTGGAGCGGACTACGGTCCAGCCACCGCGTTGTGTGCGCTTGCTCCCCCAAATACAGCGTGCTTGTGTTTGCCTGTGAAGGAGTGTGGGCTGGCTCTATTGAGGAAACGTGGCTCCCATTCACATACCTCCCAATCTTATTCCTTCGGGTTTACACTGGATATGGGGTGTGTGGCTGGAGCTGTGGGTGATGCAGCGCAAGCCACCCATGGTCCCTCTGTCGGTGCAGGCGTCCTGTGGCTGGCCACAGTGACAGGCAATTCCGAAACTGGATGCCGCCAACCATTTGTAAGTGGACATGGTGAATGAATTTGTTGTTGGTGCTCTGTATTCCTGATGTTGAATGTGTTCGCCATCTTCTGAAGTGATCAAATGAACTCTTCGAATTGGATGACGTTCTTGATGTGGGAAAAATCTTCCGGAAAAAAGAGACAGTGACGTTTTTTGATGGCGTCACATCCGCCACGTCGCAATGTTGTTAAGCGGACCTTAGTGGCTTTTTACAGGGAGAACGCTTACCTAGCGAAAACTCACCACTTCCTGGAACACTGCCGCCAAACTATTCGCTGGAACGGGATTAAACCGAATCACCTAGCTGACATCGCGTGTAGGTTGTTCGGCTAGGTGTTCACTATGCCGAGAACGCCATTACGATTGTGCTTCGTGCATCACATTATTCACCTCATCTCCCCTGCACACTGGTTGCATAAAAGCATAGTTTAGTTCAGCAAACACTTGCTCTCCTCTCTGTACGCATCTTTTCACACGATTTCTTGATGTCCTATCTGCTGCATCTAGCCGGGTAGATAAGAGTGAGGATACCACTTCTTAGGTTTTCCCGCCGTCTTATCCCCCTCTTGTGCTTTTTCATGCTTATCGTCCCGTTGCAATTTCACTGTTATGCATCCTGTCTCCAACCCCAAATTCTTTACCCTCCCTATTTTGCTTCAATCGTTGCTAGTCCTCTAGTTTCGACTCACGCAATCGCAGGGTGTCCCTCCACTCCAGTCGACAGATCCATGTTCAACCAAGCGGACAATGGCAGTTCACTTGTTTCTATTTTGAGTCCTCGACCCTCGCAATGACTGACATGCCTCAACATGTGCACTTTGTTACAGATCGGCCAACAGACAGCAGTGGCCGGAACACTGGAGGCCCTATCATCGATTTTTGCTGTTTAGGAGAAACCAGCCTGCAAGACTTTAGCTCTGTGCTCAACCTGCGATCCCCTCCATGTGACACGTCATCATCATCAACAACAGCAGTGCGTCAGCTATTTGAACGGATGCTTTGCTGCCATACAACCATGATGACATCTGGAATGAAGAATACTAAGAGGGAGAGAAGGGGGACTTACCTGAAAACTCTAATCCCTGAGCCACCATTCAGGGTCAATGCGGCTACACCTTGTTAACTACATACTGTCACAAACAGCTGGCTATCGTGCAAAGATAAAGCAGCATCAGCGAGACAGCTTCCTTGCGGCTTTCACTGCCCCGCATCATAATCAGCCATTACCCCGCAGATAACTCAGCACCAAACACACTTTAAACAGGCAATCCGACTAGGAAACGGTAGCAGTCGCGCCACTAGTGTCCATAGCGAGCCATGTCCTGTAAAGCACAAGCCAAGCACAAGACGGGTCACGTGGACTCCAGTCCGGAAGTTGATACGCACCAACGGCACCCAGTTTGGTCGTCAGTGACTTCATTTCCCGCTGTTAAGTCAACTTCTGTCCATCTCGACCCCTGTGCCACCCTACACTTGGCAGATTAAACAAGGCTATCCTCGGAAAGAGCTGACCGCGCATACGTCGTACGTGCCCAAGTCAACGCAACTTATTCAGTGCTATCTGTTGTTCTAGGGAGCTAGCATGATTATCACTACCTAGCATTCGCCTTTGCACATCATCGTTGCGGACACGCTGGTGCTATCCGACATCAGCAATGCTTCGCAGATAACAATGATCAAAGGCTTGAAGGCGCCTCAGATCTTCAGACCGAAGGGGCCAAGTCTCACTACTATAGAGCAGAACGGCCCTCACTCTGGCCTTGTATACACGGCCTTTCAGACGGAGGGAAACTCCCATCTGTCGCCAAAGATGACGCAGGTTCAAGAAGGCAGCTCTGGCCTTTGCAATGCGTGAACTGACGTCAGTTTCTATGCGTCCATCGTTGCTGATGCAGCTGCCAAGGTAAGTGAATTGACCAACCACCTAGAGTTCCTCGTTAGCAAGAGTCATAAAGTGGCTGATGGTCCTGTAGCAACACTTTGCACTTTGGAAGTTTAAAGCGCATAACAAATAATGGGACCACTCTGGATAGGCTATTCAGGGTTGATTGTGCCGCCTCAACATCGTCGAAAAGCAAGGCGACATCGTTCACATAATTAAGATCAACTAACCTTTCTCCACGCGGGACCTCAACGTCTACATCGTGAGATTCCGTAAACGAACACTCCATGATAGAGTCCACGACAAAGTTAAACAAAAACGGGGAAATCGGACAACCCTGACGTACGCCACTTGTGGTCGGAAAGCTGTCCGACAAGTCACCCTAGACCCGGACGCTGCCTTTAGTGTTCGAGTATAGAGCACGTAGGATGTTCACATATTTCGTGGGAACACATTTTTGTGCATGTATTTCAAACAGAATGGATCGATCGACTTAACCGAACTCACTGTTGATATCGAGGAACACAGCTATTGTCGGTGTGCGGTATGCGTGATGCTGCTCTAGCACTTGCCGCAGACTGGTTTATACAGCCATGTCCTGGGCGGAAACCTGCCTGCTCTTCCATAATCCGGGATTCTTGTTCTGCAGTGAGGCGACGAACGAGAATTGAGGCCCCTGTGGTTAACACTGTCGGTGCGATTGCCCTCCTTATATATTGCCACTAGGATCGGTTCACTCCACTTAGCTGGGATGGTTTCCTCTTCCATACATATTCGAATAGGGAGATCAGTGCTTTGTAGAGGACCTCACCTCCACGCTTAAATAGGGCAGGTGGCAGGGAATCCGGGCCATCAGCACGAAAAGGAATGTAGTCTGTGATCACGTTTCGGACCTCGACCTCCTACGGATTTTCTATACTAGCCGTCCATGGCTCCTCCTGCATCACCTGAGTAGGAACAGGTCCGGGAGCAAGGGGCCAACTGAACTGAACTTGAAAGGGTTCCGCCCAACAAGCCATACGGTGCTCCTTATTGTGAACCTGAGTACCCACGCTCTCTCTAATAATTTCACTGACTCCTAGTTTCCTGGGACCAGTGGTGCGGATCAGTTGGAAGAGTCTGCGATTGTTCCCTTCCACTCCCGCCTTCTCCATTTCTTGAGACCAACTGGTACACCACGTTTTTTTGTATGCGCGCAGGCTCCGCTTTATTTCGCGCTTAATACTCCGTCTGCTCTTATTGTGCTCAAAGCCAGCCAGGAGATTTCTTCTGGATTCCAACAAATTCACCGATCTCTCGGATATCCGGTGACTGATGCGGTTACGATTGATAGTGCCACAAGCAGATGCTCCTGCGTCGTGCATGGTAGCCGAGGTCCTATTCCACTGAAGCTCAGTGTCATTAGGACGGGAGAGCGAAAGTTCGATACGTAGTGCAGCTTCGTAGGTTTGCCTGACGGAAGGCGGAGATAACTTCTTATTTGCCAATCGGGGAGACGCTTTGTTTGCTTTCCGGTAAAGTTCATGGGGAAACGACAGCGTACCAAGGCATGATCAGAGTCGACGCAAGTAATCCAGTACGAGTGGCAATCCAGGATGGAAGCACGCCACCTGTAACTTATAGCAGTGTGATCAGTTTAGGTCTATCGCTGGCCAGCTACAGGAGGACGCCTAGTGGCATTTCGGCGCCCATTGTGTCTGAAAGCGATGCTACTAAGAAACAACTGGTGCTCCGCACACAGTTGCAAATACGCTCGTCGTCCGTACGGTCGGAGTTAAGCCCGTATTTACCACCTAGCTAAGCTTCTGAAGAGCCTAAACGACCTACTTGTGCATCCAAATCCCCTGCAAGTATTATGATATCTGAACTGGTAGCACTGCATAGTAGCGTGTTCAGTTCGTGATGGAATGTGTCCTTGGCAGCATCAGAACTGCAGTCGGTAGGAGCGTAAGCGGAAACCACAAACAAACAGCGTTTTGTACTACTTCGTGAATCAACCTTGGTCGATGTCATCAAACGGGCTGCACACAAACGGCTGTTCACAGAAATCCAATCAACCAACGATGGCTCAGCCTTCGAGCTGAGTATGATGCTTACGCAGCTTGACCAGATGCTACCGCATCAGTGTCTCCGGATGCGTGCAACCATTAGCGAGAGAACAAGCCGGGTGCAGTTAATTCAACAGCTCCATGAGAGTAATTTATTCGTTACGGATACACAGCACAAGTCAATGCCCAGCGTGTCTGACGTCTGTCCCAGTGCAGCCTGTCGACCTATCTGTCTTGAAGTGCGGACGTTGAACGTCGCCTTGGAAACGGGACAGCGTGGCCTTATAAGGGACCGTTGCCGATAGACGTCCAGTGAGTGGTGCGGGAATGTAGCTGCAGATGGTTCGACTCCAGTGGCACTACGGTTGCTGTCAGTTAAGCTGTGAACTATAGAAGAAAGTTTAGTAATGGGGCTCGCGATGGGAGTAAGAGAAACAAGTGGAAAAAAAGGAAGCGAGTGCGCTGAGATGCTGCCAGTGTACCCAGACCCAGACAGGAGGACTTTTAGTGTCATAAACCAAAGCGTTTGCCTTAAAAGCCTATCCGCAAGGCAGCGGCGGTGGCAATAATCTAGTTTTACAGAAATGTACGCCATCCCATTTCAACCCCACAACCCGAAAGACTAGGAGACTGAGCTTCTCTGACCTCTAACCATTGACCAACTTGGTATGAGTAGCTGTCAAGGGGCCCGGGGGCAACACCCAGTGTAGCTCAGTGGGTCAAAGAGGTACGCAAACCGTCGCACCACGTTAAGGTCCACCCTCGTTGCGACGATGATGGTAATTTATCCTCTCATTTATCCGAAGATGACGCAGCCTAACATGACAGTCATGCCGATGTAAGTAGGAGCTGTTCCGATCGATTGGATCCCAGTCAGCAGCCAGATATGCTCCATCAGATCGTTCAGAGTGTCGAAGTTGCGCGGGACAAACTATGCCTGTTTGTCACTGCGACACACCTGCTCACAAACTGTAGTGCTGACGGTTAAAGATGACTACTATCGTCAACTGAGCGAGCTCCTTCGTGACAGAGGTAATTCGTGTACTGTAATGTTGGTTGATGGTTTGAACCCCAAAGTTGAAAATTGTCCACTGATAAGCTGCATCTGGACGGTGTAGGCTCCCGTAATGATAACTGTGTGAGGGCGCTCCTCTATTTCTCTTGGGAAATGACTTCCGACAACGCCGTCAGAAAGTTGACAGACCAACTACGATCTCATCGCTATCACTTTCCGCTGGAGAGGCTGTTTCCAAAACTGCTTCTCGATGCGGAGTATAACGACCTCCGACCAGGCACTAGTATCTGCAGAACTGCGGATGCTTTTCAGGGGAGACTGGAGACGACGCTCTGAACACAGACATGGCCGCCAACTGGCGAAAGCGGATGTTCCACTTGCATATTGAGATGCGCTGATGTTCGGATTCTGTGAGCACTCACTGAACACGGTTGGCATCAGGAGTACGCCGACACGCTGTACCGACGCTTTTCTACTGCGCAGCCACCGCCAGTCCCGCATGTGCTACGGATACTGCGAGGGTTTCCCCTTAAGGTAACGAGCCTGTCTTGTAATCTGACGGCGCGAGTTAGAGCCTGCGTAGGTGACTGGGCGACCGTCACAGTATCCTTAGCCCACGTGCGACCGGTGTTGGTTGCGCGGCAGCGAAGCGTCGGTGCTGCGTACCGCTGATGCGTTCTTTTGGAACACGCGGACAGTTTCTGCATTTAGATCGGACCCAGCCAGTAGGCAAGTGCTACTGCATAGGCTGACTCATAGCTGTACCCGTCTCAGCTCGTGCGTTCTACTGTGGTTGCGCAAGATGTCGTCACACTACTGGTCCGACCCGTTATCAGTTACCACCAATACCGAACTCTGCACAGTAGGTCGCTTTACTTATCTTTGTGGCTCTCTCCTCTGACGATTGCATCACATGATGTTACTACACGCATTTCTGAGGCTTGTGTAGTTTATCTCAATGTTCAACTTTTATGGAGACGTCGATGCACAAGTTTAAGAAAGTAATTTGCAACGCTTCTACGCGACCAGTGTTGCTGTGTGGGTCAGAGTCGGTCGTCACTCTCCTAAGAGATTAGACGACAAACCACGTTGGAATACGGATGCCTGCGAATTATTACTCATATCTGGTTATAGAGACGGGTGAGTGGTGCTGAACTTCCTCCTTTGTCGTTCATCAACAAACGCTGCGATGCCTTACTGGAGTGTGTATTGCATTAGCACGGTCTCCGTGGCTAGATCCTTTGTTCTGCACGCATGCGAAACAGCTATCTCGAAATGTGTGTTTTGCCATCGGTACCCAGTTAGGGGTTACTCCGAGGCGACGGGTTAACAGCATGATTGTGTGGGGATGGTGTTTGTCCTCTCACTGCTGGCCCGTAACCTTAAGGATCACAAGCCTGCCTTGTAATCCAAGGGCGCGGGTTCGAGTCTGCGTAGGGACCAGGCGATCCTCGCAGTATCCCTAGCCCGCGTGCGACTCGTGGTGATTGTGCGGCTGCGAAGAGTCGGTACTGCGTACCGGAGTATTGCTGATGTCTTTTTTGTCGTCTCACTGCAGTATCATTTGGGACAGTCCGAATCCGTGTTTTCATACGCTATCGACCACACCGCAACCACGACGTAAATCATGATGTTGTATCTTAACTGGGCTTCTAATTCTTGACTATTCCGTCTTTTGATTTACTCCTACTTATCCTTTATTATAATTGCTTTAGCAACGTGAACCAAAGCAACTGGACCCATCACCTCTCGATACACAGACTGTTGTTGCTTAACAGAACTGGTTAACTATCATGACTGGCTTTTTCTTCCCGTCATTAGATGTACTGACCTTCGCCTATATCACGGCCTATATGTTATTTGATCCTTGTCGTTTTCAGTCCCCATGTTGATTCCAGATGCTGATCCTCTATTTCCGCTCAACATGTTTTCTTCAGTGCTCTCGGAGTTCCCACTTGTGATCTGGTGTACGAGGACTTTTGTTGTTTACGCGCTGCAATCGAATGTCGCCTACCAGAGCCGGAGGCTCTGGTTTACCTACACGCCATCCTTCGTTACGTTTTGTGAGTTCCCTTGTGCGTGTGTGTGTGTGTAAGCGCGGTCCATCTATTACCCTCTCCAACGTCTATCTTTGATCAGCAGTCGCATTCTAGGTTCCACACTGTTCTTGACTGTCGATGCGAGTGTATGTCTAGCATTCAGAGATGTACTATGCTCGGGCTCACTTCAGTCGCGCTTACTGCTACCGCACTGCGCATTTCGCAGGGTTACTATTTAAGCTTTGCGTACACGTATCTGCTACTTATCATTCGATTTGGACGAGTAAGCTGCGTCTACCCACTGGGATTCTCTTGTCATTGCTGCAGCTTCATGTTTCCGTCGGATCTATCGTTATTTTAGATTTATCAGATACCCCTACCACTACGGAGCTTGTCATCGTTCACATCCTTTTAAGTATCACGCCGGTAATATACAAGTGGTGGATTAACAATACTTGAAGTCGGCTGAAATCAAGCTTTTCACTGAAACCAATTGCTTGACATCTTAAGCATCCATTTGATTTCGTTGGTTTATACATATATATTTGGCAACACCTAAAGTTGATAACTTTTCCTTGGTTTAACGTTCTGCCGATGTCCTCGTAGGAGTTAACATGCTGACAAACGATCACTTCTCACAACCGTGACTATGTGTTATTGAATCGTTAACCTGACTGCTTGGAAAACCGGGTTTACCCAGCAAATTTTCTTACGACTCAGAGCCGACTTGATTGGTTGAGATCGATTGGACAATCCAACGACCGTTTCTGATCGTTCGAAACATTTGTACGGAAGTGACACTGTGACCTCGGCCTACGTGGTCTGTACAGCCAGTTCTGGTCTCCTAGTTTTCGTTGGAGTCAATACACTTGCATACAAATCCATTATTTTTCCGGATTCGGGGGTCGATTTTCTGCTCGTTGGTACACTCCCTCATGGGTCGCTACAGGCTCGTGTCATGCGGACACAACACTAAAATACAACCGCACCGACGATTTTTGTGGATTCATACTAAATCATGCACTTGTATTTAACCAGAGTGAGTGGCCACATCCTTTCGCTAGCTTTTGTCTTACACCTTTTCTTTTGTTGCCCATCGTCATGACTCAGCTCATTCCAACGGCTATGTCAGCTCCATCTGGTAGATACCCGGCCACATTCTGACCTAGTCCATCTACGCTTGGAAAGCTTGCTAACTTTGGCGCGTTCAAATGCCATTTTACCTTCGTCTGAGTTCATCAGTGTCCTCTTTCCAAACATTCATCTTGATGCTCGTGAGGATTTACTTCTCAACAGGGCCATTCACTATTATCGCAGCAAGAAAGTGAGTTCCCTTTATACACAACTGGATTGTTTCGGTAGCCAACTTGAGTAGCTTCAGTACGACTTCAGCTTTCTCACTCTTTTGTCAAGCTTCGCATTGGTACGCAGATGGGTCAGTTTTTCTTTAAGTCATCATGACTCCGAGCAAATCTAAGCTGTTATCGCTCGATATGGATACCCACTGGGTACCATCGACCTGAAAAGCTTTTATTTCGAATTAACCAGGACTTGACAATTCACCGAATTCCATCACATCGTCTCAAGCACCACTGTCAGTCAGTTGTGTTCTTCTGGCAACGCTTGTCACAGTTACCTGCTCCTTTTTAGACTACTTCCAACGGTGTTGCTTTTCGACGTTTCATCACACGAGCTTGCATGCTACTACATCCGTCGGACCCCTTCAAAGCACTGCGCTATGCTGCCAAGGTGAGTTGCAACAACTTCACTTATCATCAAGGACCCAAATATTCGACTCCTTTGACTTTATGATTGAACTTTTTTGAACGCCATTTGAACATATTCTGGTTGTAATTGGTAACTACGAATCGTCTCATCAACACATTTCTTCCTTAATAAACTTTCACTAATTTCTTTCTTTTCTCTTTGTTCCTTTCCTTCGCTCTTCGCCTCGGTCACTGCGTCCAACATAGGCTTTCCCGCCTGTTGGTTCCAAACACAGCTCTGTGTGTTTCCATATGGATGGCTCAGCGGCACCCTTCCCGGAGCACTGGCTTATAAACCCTGAAAGCACCAGAGAACTTTTGTCCACATTGTTTGATTTTCCCTCTGTGGACGCATTGGAGGAAATTGTCCGCGCATCCACTGTCGAATTGATGACTTCATCCAAGTGCATCCATGATGTCGCAGTCTGTACGAGTGAGACACCTCCACCTTTCAATCTAACCGTTTGTGTAGCTTGTCGTTCTCTTCTGTTAGCGCATTGCTTCCGTGATGTGGCCACCTGTTCTGTGGCTCCACTCGGTTCTTAAACTGGTGATAATGCGTTTGGTCAGGTTGTTCTATCTCTCCGAGCTTGGCGCGACTGGCGGTCGGAGTTCTACAGTGTTCTTCACGCTCTCCGTTTTTGTTCTCACTGGGATAGGTGTTGTATTGCGGTTTAGGGGTTTTTGGGCAGTCGAACCAGTTACTGCAGTTCAATTTCTTTCGCAGGCGGCAGCCTCTGCCTGACTAGTGACGATGAACAAATATCCATTGACTTTAGCTTTAGGTACCGAATCACTTTACTGCTGGCCTCGTGTTATCAGGAAGGTTACTCTAGCACAACGATATTCTTCTCGGCCAGGAACTGTCTGATGCTCAGGGCATTGTTAACATTCATGTTGTCACGGTGAAGAATCCACGATTTGTCCTGTAACAACTCGTCTCTTCTCACTCACTGGACGGAGCAAACGCTGCAGTATCTCTTGTCACAGGGCCAGAGGGTCTAACAGTATGTATACATGGAAATATTGCAGCGTTTGTCTCATTCAGTGCGTGAGAAGGAACGAGAGTTGTGGCACGACAGCTAAACATGTCGGTCAGTTTCTCCTTTTAGGCCTGGTTGACCACTACGGGATTCTCCCCCGACGAGTTGATATCATAATGTATAGTGCTATCATTAGCTGATTCTGGATTAACTCTTTCAGCACTCAGCTCGAAATTCACTTGCACGTGTCCTGGCCTATTAGGTTGGTGGGTTCATTGTTTTAGTGTCGAGATCAACCATTTACATCTAATTTTGGGCTATTTCGCAGGTATTTATGACCTGTTAACAGTCTTCGGTGCTAACAATAGCACCGACTGCTGGTGCCACTACCCTCACTCTCCCTTATACATAGGAGAGGTGGTCGAGTGGAACTTTTATTCTCAGGAAGGGTAAAGTCATCTACGAGCTAATGGTTAGAAGTGAGAAGTGGAACAGGCACGTCGATCAGTTGAGACCGAATTACGGCAAAACCCAAGTCCCCAAGAATCAGCAGTTTTACAACGGGATATTTTGCTAGACACGTTCGGATTGTAAGACGTGGGTGAACGGGTACGTGGATCACAACAGAAGCTACAAGCACCAAATGACGCCCAATGCAGGCCGACTCGAAAGCGGAGACGACCACAATGGCTTTACGTTGATCCCAAGGCGAAAAGGTATGGACAAACTCAAGTTCGAACGATGCGCAAGCAGACTCAATTCGAAAGTGGAAGTATTAGATGGCCGCAAGGGACGAACACCGCATCACTGTTTCGAAACATGAAGTGGGAATGCGGGGTGCTGCGCGGAAAGCTGACTGACTCAGTTCGCCATCTACGACACAGGTTGCTACGCTGTTCAGAGTCAGTTCGTCATCATGGTACGGGTTGCTGCGGCGTAAGTGTGAACGTGGCTACAACCAAACAGTGGCGAACGTGAGCATGTTTGAAAGTTAGTCGATCCAGCGACCCATAGTCAGGGTTGAGCACATGTGACCTATGAAGTTAACCATGCTCTGTCCCTATACATACCGGTTTAGCAAGTCTCGGCTTCTGTTATTCCCCGCCTGGGTTGGTGGCGTCCCGGGCGGAAAGCAGAGACAGCGCAGCATTACAATAAGATGTTTCCGTAATTCGCGCTCAGGGATGGAGTCGATGACTCTGGAATCGTTTTTAGTAGCTGCGTGACTGTATGTGAGGAGATGCGACAAGATGGAGCTATTTGAGGACACTGCATCACCCCTATAAAACCGCTTTGGGATGTGCTCTCGAATCCTATGAGATAGGCGCCTCGTAGTACGACCCATGTCTTGTGTTCACCACAAAAGCACGATTACTGATAAACAAGCATTGATCGAGTCAATGGAGATAGTCTATTCTTCAATGGTTTTGTGAGTAAAGGCTTGTTATAGTATACTGTGTGCAGGCGAGCCGCAAAATAAGTCTTCCCACCGACGTCTTTCAGGCGTTGAGTTAGGGCACTAGACACAATGTCGCTTTTGAATAGTAAATGCACGGAAATTCCCTCCTTGAGTGCACTGAATTTAGGTGATTTTCTCTTACTTTCTTTCAGATGTTTGAGGACCACTTTATCCGAGTACCTATTTGCTCTTAGGGTATTAGTAAGAGTGATTCATGATCTGATATGTGGTTTCTGGTTCAAACGATTAAACCATATCACCTTTTCCATCGTTTGGTCACCCTAGCTCACTCTTAGTCGAATGTGTAAAATTGATCCGTTGGAATCACATACCTGTGTGACAGTAATAGCTTCAATATTATTTACTGGTAAGTATACGTTGGTAATGGTAACAGACTCCCTACGATCTACTGTTGTATTTTCCCTGAACAAAGAGGAGACTGTGTGTTATTTCTTAACCTTAAAACGCTAGTTGTTACAGCTGTGTCTCACATGGGCCTGGCACCTGTTGGAGCTGTAAGGTTGACTGATTGCGTCAACTTGTTACAGCATCACGACCGTGCCATGCTCATTCTGCTAAAGCATGTTTCGTATGCTGAATGAATTCGTTAAGTGTCCAAGCATCTACCTTGGCTCGAACATGAGTTTGAACCGTTAGCAAATCGCGGCGGGATGATTGCTTCACTCAGTTAGCACATTACTCTGCATAAATCATCCTACCCGGAACTTGCTACCTACACTACACGAAACTCAAACAACATACATTGGTTGCCGTTGCTTCATCCACTAACATCGAATCCCTGATATTCGGTTCATAAACGGATTTATTTGCTACTGAGATATTTAATCTCGTTACTGCACGCACAACCGTAGGTAAAATCGTGTCAAACTTAACGGGTGCAGATTTTGGCGCCTTCTCCTTACAATTATACTTGCGCTTTATTTCTCGTTTCTCATTCCAGTTTACTCTTTTTGCCATTCTTTCGTGTGTGTATCGCTGTCTCCGTTGCTTTTCCTCTGCAGGTCGCTTGTATATTTCCTTACTTGAGCTCGCACCTTCCCAACTCCTTAGCTATGTTGAGTACGAGAAAACGCTTCTCAGAATCTTTGGACATCGAGGTAGACGGATCTTAGAACAACCCGATAAGAATCACAGTTGATTCTACTGACTTTCTGGGCCTGTTGAAAGCCGCTGAAATCCTGGATTATGCAATAGCGCACATTTGTCCATTCCGATGCGGACCTGCCAACCACTTGTGGGACCCGTCGGCCTAGCACCACCTGGTCCATCGCATTTGTTTCTCTTATCTCCACTTGAACACCGTGCTGCAGTCTACAGACACCTGTTCTCTAATCATCGCCACACCTAAGGCTAGCCTCGTCCTCTAGCGACGGTGTATCGTTCATCCTCTGCTTCCTGCGTTTCATGCACCTGTTACTCAACAGATCGTTATTTTCTTCTGTGAATTTTTAATGACAAGTGCAATTACTCCGCATCTTTCCTTTATTAACACGGGTTTGCCACACAGAGCATTTCCATGCACTCCTGCACATCGTTACTGTTTTCCAGTTTGTCGTTATCTTCCATTCCAACTAGGATTTTCTCTTCGGGGCTGTTTACTCCGTGAACGGTTCCTGTTTTCAACATTTCTGGAATACCTTCTTTCTCGCCCCTGTGTTCGCCTCGCTGACGCAACGTTTGGTGCAATATTTGTTTTGCCTGTATTGCATACTTGCGTCTAATAAATGGAACGTTGTAATCCGCATCGCTTCTTCCTCCTACTCGAATTTACATACTGATGTGACTCTTCTAAATGCTTAGCCGTTGCCTTTTTTGACTCATTTTCTATGAAATCCCTGACAGCTCATGTTCCAAATCACCTCTACCATATATTTACCGATACCGACTCATGGTTCATTACATTAATTTCAAATGACACAAACGGATATCTTGATAGGTACACACCATGAACTGATCACACACAGGTTGAATTCAAGGCCATCACCTTTTGTCAGACTGGCAGTTGAACATAGCTATGCCACAAGCTAACAAAATACTTAACCTCGTCAACATGCTACAAACCATTGGCAGCACTATTCCTCTTTCAGCTACTCATTACCTACCTTCGGACCCATATGATATCACCTTGACCATAGTGTGCAGTGTACGTTTGAAATCTGACGCAGTGAACACACTCGCCCGATGCAGTAGTCGTTTCCCGCGTTCATCAGCTCTGTTGTACCACTGGTTTATCTTCTGCCTTATTGACCTAACCAACTTACTTCATATGCTGATTTAAGGTAGAGTTATGTATGCATAGCCGTATTCCTTAACAGATATATTTTATTTGATAATGTCATTTCATATGATTGGCTGTTGTTTGACATCCCGGGTGTGGCTACGCTTGATGTGCATGTTGACAAGGTGACTACCTGTCTGTTACTCACTACCTCGTCCATACTGACTCTAGGAGACACTTGGTCGTTTCTGGAGGTGACGGGGTGCACGGTACTTGTGGTCGTGCTAGGCTCGAAGAGTGGTTCCATGCACTCAGTGTGGAGCGGACTACGGTCCAGCCACCGCGTTGTGTGCGATTGTTTTCCCAAATACAGCGTGCTTGTGTTTGCCTGTGAAGGAGTGTGGGCCGGCTCCGTTGATGAAACGTGGCTCCCATCCACATGCCTCCCGGTCTTATTCCTTCGGGTTTACACTGGATATGGGGTGTGTGGTTGGAGCTGTGGGTGGTTCAGCACAAGCCACGCATGGTCCCTCTGTCGGTGCAGGCGTCCTGTGGCTGACTACAGTGACAGGCAAATCCGAAACTGGATGCCGCTAACTATATTGACCTATTAGCGAGCTCTATGTAAAGCTGACGTCCTTCTCGGGTCCATATATTAGGGCACCGCTACAGCGAGGGGCCTGTTTGTGTTTGTCGCACCTAATATTTAGCAGATAACTACCCCAACCACTTGATAGCGGTTTAGGATGGCGAAGGTTTCATCTTTCGGATGGAGGAAGTGGAGCTTGGTGATTCGACAACGGAGTTCTGTTGCTTTATCGGGATATGAGTGGAGATTTCATTAACCCTCGGTCCACCGGATATATGCCATTTTCACTTTAAATTGGACATTTTTCAAACCACATTGGACATTTTGCAAACCAAATTGGACATTTTGCAAACCACATTGGACATTTTGCAAACCACTTTGGACAATTTGCAAAACATATTGGACATTTTGCAAAACAAATTGGACACGTTGCAATCTAAGTAGCAACTCGCCAATTTGTTGGTAAGAAACGAGCAGTAAGACTGCTGAATGATGTTCAGAATATACATTGTGATGACGCTAATACACCGGCATTGTGTAAGCAGCGGGCCACACTGTAAAACATTTCCTTGATCGTGAGCAGCGACCGAAGTTCTGAACTACGCTCCCCTCTCCCCATTGACATTCGCCTAGTTGGTGTGTAGTGCCCATACGCATCAACCTGTGTAGGTGTGTAACAATTGGAAAATCGGACGTCCGAATCGTAATTGTGTATCAATCATTTTGTGAGTGGATTGCGATGCGCAATCTCAATGTGCACCGTTATTCTCATTAGAGGGAACCTTGTCCGATTCGGTCAATGGGACCATGTCGGATGAAGCAGGTAGGCGGTGTCCCAGCTTCGCCCGTCTCTCTATTAGCTTTCACAACTGCCACGTTATTGTATCAGCGTAGGCTGTAATGACCCCCAGCAAAGCCAGTCTAGATCTATAGCCTATTGTTGCAACATATCAACTACCGAGGAGTGGGCTGATTACACGATGTTCAGGCCACATTGTGGTCACGATAATGTAACCGAACTGCGTACGTAGCGGGTGATTGTGTAAGCCCTTCTCTTGACATGAGCGCCGTCCGCCTCGATCAAAATCGGTGACCTATTTTCCCCTACACCCCCCCCCCATAGGAATTCGTGTGTTTTGTCTGGGTGTGTGGACCGACCTATGCAGCGGTACCACTATTGGAGCGGAGCATACGATAATGGTTCCACTCAACACAACTTGGCTTTATTAGCTCCGTGCCGCACGAAACGACCAAAATGAGTGACGAACAACAGGAGAGCTGGTGTCCGACGCGACGGCACTGCAGGCGAACATCATTTGCGCAAAGAGAAATTCTCACAAAACTTGTGCTGGTCGACGGCAAAACTACTCGGGAAGCCGCTGAAGTCGCCGGTGTTAACGAGAGTACGGCAAGGAACATCATTAATGCCTACAAGCGAGAAGGCTCAAATACACAGCGCACCTGCGGTGGAAACAATAGGGATAAGCTGACTCCCAATGTATTGCAGCGCGTCGAAGAAGCGGTTGAACGGCACTCTGAGGACATGTTGGTGCAGCTGCAGATGCGCCTGAGAGAGAATGGGATAAACCTACCACTATCCTCTGTCTTCAACGCCCTCAGAAGACGAAAGATGACTCTCAAAAAGTGTCATTACGAGCTCGACCGAGTCAACAGTGCCACGATAATCGCTAGCTGACAGGCGGTTGCATCCATTGAACACTCCGAGTGTCTTCATTCGTTGCTGGTACGGAAGGGGACACAAATCTTTGACAGCTTTCGTTGTTCGACCTTGCGGGGGGTATCGAGCACTGCAAGATTGTCAAGCATGGATTGCTTATTCGACGTGGAGACGCATGTAGGCAATGAGCATCAGAGAGATGGATGAATCCATACTCCTGAGTGCTCTCCAACATGCTAGTTACCTATTTTTGTACCGGACTCTGATTGTTTGGAACAACCGAGGTCGTCCTGTACCAGCACGCCGAGGTCACGTCCCTGAGAGCTTGTCTGGAAGTCGTGCGTCCCAAGCTTGTAGATGTAGGCGTGTCGATTGCGGATGTGGACAACGCGGTACTTGTTCACTTTGAATGGCGGTGCGCTCCTCACTTACAATGTCAGGCATCATCGAGGTCACGCTAGAGGAACTCGTGGTCGACCATTTCCTTGATTGCTGGACAAACTTTAACCTCGTCCGCGAAGAGTAAAAATTTTGGGGTGATAGCTCTCGCTAGATTGTTAATTAAAACTAAGAATAGGTGAAGTCCAAGTACCCAATCATGCGATACGCCGCACTCCACTCGAATCGGATCAGACAAGAATGGATTTTCGGACTCTAACCTCAAATTGCCGTTCGCGGAGAAAGTTGCTGATCCAGACTAATACTGGATCCCCGACATCGTAGTGCCCAACTTTATTAAGCAGTATTCGATGATACAAACAATCGAAGGAATTCGAAAGGTCCAAGTAGATAACATCGGTTGCTGTCCCCTGTCAGGTGACTCTCTGTGAGACAAAAAGTCAAAGTCTGTGCCTTGATCGGTAATCTGTTGCTCATAGAACACAACTCATTTATACCTTGTCATTTAGTACCACTCACTGATGTAGAACACGTCTCCTCGCTCTTACACTCTTGGACAGCGTTTGAGCTTCGTTCATGTCGATCTTAATCGATTGGGTACTATCCTTCAGTTCGCCGCTGCAGCGATCGACCAGCTTTCGGACTTTTGGCATCAAACCGTTAAGCCCGACTTTCGACAAACAAAAGGCATGCTGAGTGTGATCTCACCACTACATCCTTCCATTTTTTCGTAGTTCGTGTGGTGCAGGTCCCATAACCTCTTCCATTGTGGCGAGCTTTCGGTTTGCTTTGTGTTTGAATGGAAACTGCACCTGATTGTCCCCGAATTCTCTAGGGGCACTTTTTCAAATAGCATTAGATAAGGATCCTCATGTGTCTTTCTGACTGATAATTCCATTATTTGCCTTCTTGAAAACTTTCGTCACAAACTTCCCTTTCGGATGTATCATCAAGTTATTACACCCTTTGTGACAACTCCGTGTTACACTGAACTGCACCCCGGTGCAGTGTGTCTCGAACGGTGTACTCACAGTGGCCATTGAATCAAGTCTTAACGGTACTGATCGTTCGTGAATTGACGGTGTCGCAATAATCCTTTCATGCTCTTTGCGATCCCACCTGTTATTTATTGAAATCTTTTGCTTTTCTTTCCGACTTTCAATAGTAAGTGAGCTAACGTTGGCCGATCGGCAACAGCGAGCGAAAATGCTTGGTCGGCCTTCACAAAAATTACCAAACCACTTGATTATTTTG